ATTTTCTGTTTCCATTGCATATGGTGCCAAGAGGATAGCTGCTCTGTGGTAATATGTATATATATATATATATATATACATGTATGTATATATATGTATGTATATATATATATATGTATGTATATATATTTGGGTGAAGGAGTTTCTTATGACTCCCTACATGTTGAGTAAAAAAGACTAGTACGGACATCAGACAGGGAGCTGGGGACTCCTTTTTTTGGTTCAATACAGGAACCCAAGAGTTCTCCCAAAAAAGGCTAAAGATCATCCCCCAAAAAGGAAAAACTAGAATGACTCAACAAAGAGAGAAAAAGAATGTTACATTGCACCTTCCCCCACATTAATCATGTGTCCTTATAGGCCATTTTGATGTTGGGGACATCTAGAGTATCTCCTTGCAACAGATAAAGGAGAGCAGGTGGTTGACAGAAACCTCCTTCAGTCTTATTAGAGTGTGATCCAAGTTGAGCCAACCAGTTTGCAGGCTGGTTTCCTTCCCTATAGATGAAAGTGAACTGGATTTGTATCTTGCTAGTAAGATCTCTTATTTTATGTAGCCAGTATGAGTAATGTCAGGGAGTCTCAACCTCATGATTTAAAAGGGGAATAATCACATCAGATTCCACTTCCAACCAAATCATATTCCAATTAGTCTTAGTGGCAAGATTAATTGCCTAATACACAGCAATGAGTTCAGTCTCAGTGGCATCATTGGCCAGAACAGGAGTATAAAAGTACAGCAGGCACTTACCCAAATGATTTTTGTAGATACCTCTGTAGATAGTAGATACCTCCCACACCAGCTCCATTTTTAGTAAAGCTTCCATCACTGTTAATCTTCACACCAAGATGTTTTCGGGTTTTCCAGTAGACTCTGATGACTTAAATAGGTTCAGAATTAATAGGTGCGCAGGAGTTGGAAATGTTAGGAAATCTTTTCCAGTTGATCATCTTATGTAGGTAGGTTAAACAATTTCTAGCAGTTTTTCCCACATTTGGATTAGCTTCCTCAAATTTGACCTTGTTTCTTTCCATCCAGATGAACCAAGCAATAGTAAAAGGAATAGCGGTATACTTTCTTTTCTTCCAGTACACCCAACAATTGACCAGCCTATCCCAATTGATTTCTTTCTCATCAATTATCAACTGATTCAGAATTTTTTTCCAAACCAGTTGAGCAAAATTGCATCCAAAGAATAAATGATTCAGAGTTTCCTCCTCCTTCTTACATAGGCAGCATTTAGAGGGACCCCTCAATCCCTTCAGCTTTAGGATGTCATCAGTAGGGATCATTTTATGAAATATTCTCCAACAAAAAAAAGGACATAGAAGGGGAAACAAATTTATTCCATAAATAATCACCCCAGGGTGTTTGCTTCCAACTGAAGCTTTTGGAGTATATGGCTTTGGTGACGCTTTGGTGTGAAGTAGTCTGCCATAAGACTTTGTCAGCTGTACTTCTATTTAACTTTATACTGGACACTTTAGCAACAAAGTGAGGTTGCAGAAGATTAGATAACTTAACCAGGGACCATTCATCACCATCCCAAAAATCAACCACTTTCAAATCACTATTGTAGATAATTGTAATGGGGGATAACCAGTCTTTGGGACACCAATTGTCAAGCCAAAACTTGATATCCCCTTTGCCCAATTCCCAACTGTAATTGGTTTCAGTAATATTAGCATTTTCACCCATTTTCACCCAAATTTTAGAATCACCAATTTTCCTTAGGACCAGTGTGGGGTGCTGATATTCAATACTTACCCCACACTTGAATTTTGCCCACAGGGAATTTTGGGTTCTAAACTTAATCCAGAGTTTACAAAAATTAATGTGGAGGAGTTGATCAAGATCCTTAAAGCCAATACCCCCAGTACTTTGAGGTTTAACAGCTTTCTCCAGGAAGCCCAATGCATTTGTTGTCTTTGACAAGACCACAGAAATTTATTAAATATTCTCTCCAGCTAATTTTGAGTGCTTTTCTTAATGGTAGTCATTTGCAGCATATAAGATGGGAAGGTAGTGATAATGCTCTTTAACAAATTAATTCTTCCCCCGTTAGACAAGAAGGTCTGTGTCCACCCATTAAGAAGGCTAGAAATTTTGTTCAAAACCTCATCAAACTGAGTTTGTTTTGTTCTGCCAGTGATAAGAAGCACCCCAAGGTACTTAATTGGGAGTTGAGAAGTTGTGAAGCCAGTATATTCAGATGCCCAATGTTTATGAGTGGAGGATGCATGTTTCTAGAAGACCATCTGACACTTTGCTGGATTGAAGGACATTCCTGAATGAGCTTGGAATTTTTGTAATGTCTGAAACACTTTTCTGATAGCATTTTTGCTTGCTCTGGAGAATACCATTATGTCATCATTATACAGTAAATGGGTAATGGCAATGTTGGATCTATGATGGTATCTGTTATGACTATGGTTCAGCAAGGCTTCATCAAGCATTCTTGATAAGTAATCAATGGAAAGTATAAAGATGGTGGGTGATAATGGATCCCCTTGCTTTAATCCTCTAGCAGCAGTGAAAGAACCCCTCCCTTGCCCATTTATCAGGATGGAATGTTCATTGTTATGTAGCCACCTCCTAATCAGATGACAGAATTCACTGTTAAAGCCTCTGGCACCCAGAACATCCAATATGAAATCCCAGCTTATGGTATCATAAGCTTTCCTTAAGTCCAAATTTTAAGTCCAGATTGTATACCATATTGCACCCTCTATAAGTTTTATTCAAATTCTGTAATAGTTCTTGAGCCAAAAGAGTGTTATCAATGATGGACCTACCTTTCGCAAAGGCTGTTTGGTTGGGTTTAATTATAGAGTCCAGGTGAGGTTGTAGCCTATTCATAATGATTTTGCTGATGGTTTTACTAATAATAGTGGTCAAACAGATAGGTCTGAAGTGGTTCCAATTCTGCAGTAAATCAGATTTATGAATCAGTACAGTGGTGGAGGCACAAAAATACTTTGGAAGATTATTGCCTTGGAAGAAGCTTGTTACTGCAGCAATACCATCAGCCTTAATAATCTCCTAAGACTTCTTGTAAAATTCAGCAATGAAGCCATCAGGACTAGTAGATTTGTCTGATTGCATTCCAAATTTCCCTTTAATTGGGGATATCTGTAGCCAGCAAGCTTGAGGCCAGCAAGGTAGTTCAGTTCAGCAACAAAGTGTGCCTTCTCAACAGAGGGTCTGAAGTTATGATCCTGATTGAGTAAATCTTTGTAATAGCTTATAGCATCATTAGCTATATCAGTATTGTAATGTAACCACTGTCCATTGGCATTTTGGATAGCATGGATAGTGTTGCACTTTATTTTATATTTAATGTAGGCACGAAAGAATCTAGTGTTTCTATCCCCATCAGTAAAAATATTCATAGCTGCCTTTTGCCTTTTGTTTAAGGAATTTCTTTTGTTTAAGGAATTTTTCCTGATAATCAATGGTACTAAAAAGGTTGTTCTGAGCAATCATCAGTTTTTTTTCCTCCTCAATGCCAAACTGTCCTCCTTGCTCCAAATCCTTGACTTCATCTTCAGCCTCCTGGACTTTGGCATGAACATTTCCAAAAGTTTCCCAGCTCCAACCTCTGAGGTCTTTAACAATCTTGATTTGCAGTAAACTTAGCTTGACAAAGGGGTTGACAAAGGTGTCAGGATGGGAAACCCCTTTCCATAGGTCAGCAATGTACTTATTGTAGGAAGGGTGTGCAGCCCACATGTTAAGATATCTAAAAGGGGGGGGGGGGAGGAGTTGTAATTATCAGTTGAAGTAATTCTTATAAGTATTGGTATATGGTTTGAGCCAGCAAGACTAAGATTAGTAACAAAAGTGAGGAGGAAATGGTTAAACCATGCATCATTAACCAACATTCTGTCAAGCCTCTCCAAAATAGCTCCCCTTTTCCAAGTGAAAGTAGGCCCCTTAAACCCCAGATCAAAGAGACCAGCCCTCTAGATATTATCTCTAAAGGTGTTCACCTTTGCAAGATTTGGGGTTCTTCCTCCAGATTTTTCAGTGGCAGAAGTGAAACAATTGAAGTCACCCCCTACTAGCCATGGGGAGTCCACCTGTTGGTTGATGTTAATTAACCTATTCCACAGCTCTTTTCTAGCATCCATTGTGCATCCAACATAGATGAAGGTAGCTTCACCCATATGTCTATTCATATTGAATGAGAGGTGGACAAATTGTAGATGATCATTTGAGTTGGTTTCTCTTCTGCAAAAAATCCAAATTTTATTATTAGTATTCCTAAAATGAGTGAACCCATCAAATGTTTTAATCAAATTTTGAGGGTTCTTGTGAACCATGGGTTCAAGGATAACAATACACCACAGTTTGTATTTGACGTTCAGGTATAAAACTCTTTTTAGTGACAGAGGGTTAGCCATCCCCCTTATATTCCAACAAAGTAGATTAATCATGAAGTGGAGGATGTGGTGAAGGCTGAGATCTAGATCTGGTCCTTCCTCTAAGAAGTGGAGAACCATTCCTTGATCTTTCAGCCTTCATAGATTGTACCCCTGATTGCAATTTTTTCACTTCTGTACCTGATTTTCTTCTTTTCATTGTTGTTTTAATTTGGCAATCTTCCTCAATGGTTTGTTCCAATTCAAGAATAATTGGTTCCTTTGAAGCTTTGTCAGGTATCTCTGTGATAATTTGCTTCCCCTTCTCAGCTTGCAAGGGGGATGTGGGTGTGACAATTGTGATTTCAATATCTTCCTTTCTGATTGGTCTTTGTGGTGGGATGTAAGCTTGACTATTAGGTTCAGATAGCTCTCCAAGAGGATCAGCATCTGGTGGGACCTCATTCATTCTTGGGGGTGATTCTTCCAGCCTTTGATTTGTTTCCTATCTATTTTCTAACATTATTTCTTCAGCAAGACCCCTTACAACATTAGTTACAATTCTTTCAGTAGCTGTGTGGTTTCTTCCTGCCAGTTTCCTTTTTGGGGGATGTAATCTGTAACATTTGTCTACATTATGACCAAACATCTTGCAATGTGGACAATAGTAAGGGACAATAGTAAGGAGGTTTCTGTTTAGCAATTATATCCTGCCCGAACCCTTCAGCATCAGAACCAATCCAAATTCTCTTCAGTTCAGGGAGTGTGATATCTCTTTCCACTTGAATTCTAGCAAGGCCAGGTCTGGCCTTATTATAAGTGGGAGCATCCACTCTTAGAGGTGTGCCTAATGCTCTACCAATGTTAAATAGAGCATTAAGCTTGATGTAGGGGAGTGGAAGGCTAGGTAATTTGAACCAGAGGGGGACCACAGGAGGTTCATTACTAGGATCAAACCCTGGAGTCCATTTGATGATCTTCATAACTGTTCCAGCAATGTTAACAGATTTTTTAGCAAACAATCTTGCATATCTTCCTCAGCTGCCAACTGGATTAGAAGATGCCTCCCATCCAAAAGCCCAATTTTCCAATTGCCTATAAACTTCAGTGATTCAAAGAAACTTCTAACTTGCTCCATTTTAGGATGTCCTAGCTGAAACTTGCCTACTAAGGTGAACTTAACCTCTTCCCTTAAAGCATCAATTTCCTTGGTAGTGAAGTAAATAGTTGTTTCACCTTCTTTAGACCCAAGAGGGTGAATACAAGGACTACTTCCTTTTACAGCAGCAGTATCATGACAATCCTGTGGGAATACTAGAAGGCCATAATCGTGTAAACTATCAGTTGATTTTCCAACCACTCCAGTATAAGTTGCTTTTGTCCATTGATAATCAGTGGAAATATCAATGGAAGAGGCCATCACCCTTCCAAAACAAGCAAGAGCTTGTAGTTTAGCTAGACAGTAAAAAGTTGTCCAGAAGGAAACACAATAACAGGCAGAGCCACTTCTGACACCCAAGGAGACAACAAGCAAAAGAGACTAGTGGATTTTTCCCCTAAATGGGAGTTCAACAAAGAATAAATCCCAAAGGCCAAGGGAAATGAGAGCTCCCCCAGTATTAGTGAAACAAATAAGAAAAAGAAGCCAATGGAACAGTGCCACTGAAGTGAGCTGAAAATGGAACAACAGTCACCAATGTAACAGTGCCAAGGAAGGATTTAAAGGAGCAGTAAAAGGAGATCAACCAGTGGACTCTTTGTTCACCAAAGGCATCCAGTAGGGCAAACTCTATGACCTCCAACTTGAAACAGCAGCCACACTCCTTCATCCTGCCAGAAACCCTAGCAGAGCTTCCTCTCCAGCCGCCAGCACCTTCATTATACAATATAGTGTTATTATTTTTCTTGTTATTTAAGTAAAGGAGCCATGAGTTGCTCTTTTTATTATTATTATTATTATTATTAGCATCGGGGGGTCCCCACGCGTTGTTGTTATTTTGTTTTATTGATTTATTTTTGCATTACATATTTTTTTTATATTAATACTTTTTTTGATAGCATGTGTGTTGGGACTCACTAAAAAATTTTCGATTCGGCATTTTGTCTAACTTTAGCCCTTCAAATGGCAGCTCAAGTGATATAGCATTACAAACTGATATATATAGGTGGCGGCTGGACCTAGCAGAGCTCTGCTAGTGTTTCGGCTGTAATGGAGTTGCCTGGTGTTGCTGTGAAGATTGTTTTAGGAGCTGGCTGTATCTTGAAGAGGTTACTTTGGCTTGGTTTGAATCTTCAGCACTATTCACTATGGCCTTGTTGAGGGAAGTTGAGGATTTTTTCTGATTTTGTGAAGCATTTAGTGTTTCATTAGTTAGTTGAAGCTACTACTCTCCTTACTTATTTTTAGTTGGAGTTTGTGGTTGGCCGGGACTATCTCTGCTATTTCTTTCTGTTCTTTGTGACTTGTTGGGGAAGCTGAGCTTTTGCTGCCTTAGCAAAGCTTTTACTGTTGCATTGGGTAGTTGAAGCTGCTAGTCTCCTTACTTCTATTTAGCTGGTGTTTGAGTTTGGCCTGGAGTCTATCTCTATTGTCTCTTTCTGTGGTTGGGATAGGAACTTGCCTTGCCTTTCTCTGATTTGGGTGTGTTGGTCTGGTAAACCATGACTACCCCTATTGATATGGAAACTAATTTGTAATGGACTAAATCCACCTATGCTGGGGTGGTTGGAAATCCCTCCTCCTCTTTTTTGGATCCTGATTTACTAGTCTTCCCTCAGGAATTTCATAACACTGCTGCTGGGAGAGGATCTGCCTCTTGCATTCACCCTGTGGGATCTAAAGATGGGGAACCAGCTGTTATTTTCTCTGAAAAAGAGATTGCTAATCTAAACTTGGAGGTTCAATTCACTCTAATTAGTAATTTCAGCTTGGGCCATCCAGAGATGGAACTTGTAAGAAAATATTTTGAATCCCTGAAAATTCAGAGTGGAAGATAGGGTTGTTGGATGGTAGGCATCTCCTAATCCAGCTGACTAAAGAAGAGGACTATGCCAGAATATTTGCAAAGCAATCCATCATCATAGCTGGAACATAAATGAAAATTTTAAAATGGTCACATGATTATTATCCATCACAAGAACCTTCCACAGTGCCTACATGGTTTAAGCTACCTAAACTGCCTTTGCATCTATGTAAATTGAATGCATTGTTCAATATTGGGTGCACCTTGGGCACACCTTTGAAGGTTGATGTTGCTACTTTTAATAAGGCCAGAACAGCGAGTGTAAGAATTTTAGTGGAAAGGGATGTTACCCTTCCTGATGTCAAGAGAATTTGGATTGGGGACACTCAGAGGGGGGTTTGGCAAGAAGTAATCATGGAGCAAAGACCACATTATTGCCAACATTGCAAAATGTTTGGACATAATAGGGAGAGATTCTATAGGTTGAAACTGCCCCATAGAAGGGTTTACCAACAACCTTAGCAGAAGTTGGATGATGCCAATATCAATCTTCAGGAAGTTATAAATAAATAAGTGCAAAAGAAGACCTTTATTGCTGCAGGGACAGGAGGTGGCAGCTGGACCTCGCAGAGCTCTGCTAGGGTTTCGGCTGTAATGGAGTGGCCTGGCATTGCTGTGAAGATTGTTTTAGGAGTTGGCTGCATCTTGAAGAGGTTACTTTGGCTTGGTTTGAATCTTCAACACTGTTCTTTGTGGCCTTATTGGGGGAAGCTGAGGCTTTTGGCTGCTTTAGTGAAGCATTTGTTGTTTCATTGGTTAGCTGAAGCTGCTACTCTCCTGCTTTTTAGCTGGAGTTTGTGGTTGGCCGGGGCCTATCTCAGTTGTTTCTTTCTATTCTCTGTGACTTGTTGGGGAAGATGAGGTTTTGCTGCCTTAGTGAAGCATTTATTGTTGCATTGGGTAGTTGAAGCTGCCAGTCTCCTTACTTCTCTTTCGCTGGTGTTTGAGTTTGGCCTGGAGTCTGTCTCTGCTGTCTCTTTCTGTAGTTGGGATAGGAACCTGCCTTGCCTTTCTCTGATTTGGGGTTGCTGGTCTAGTGAACCATGACCACCCCTATTGATATGGAAACTAATTTGCAATGGACTAAAGCCACCTATGCTAGGGTGGTTGGAAATCCCTCTTCCCCTTTGTTGGATCCTGATTTACTAGTCTTCCCTCAGGAATTTCATAACACTACTGCTAGGAGAGGATCTGCCTCTTGCATTCACCCAGTGGGATCTAAATAAGGGGAACCAGCTGCTATTTTCTCTAAAAAAGAGATTGTTGATCTAAACTTGGAGGTTCAATTCACTCTAATTGGTAAATTCAGCTTGGGCCATCCAAAGATGGAACTTGTAAGAAAATATTTTGAATCCCTAAAAATTTCAGAGTGGAAGCTAGGTCTACTGGATGGTAGGCATCTCCTAATCCAGCTGACTAAAGAAGAGGACTATGCCAGAATATTTGCAAAGCAATCCATCATCATACTTAGAACAGAATGAAAACTTTTAAAATGGTCACCTGATTATGATCCATCACAAGAACCTCCCACAGTGCCTATATGGTTTAAGCTACCTAAACTGCCTTTGCACCTATTTAAATTGAATGCATTGTTCAATATTGAGTGCACCTTGGGTACACCTTTAAAGGTTGATGCTGCTACTTTTAATAAGGCGAGACGAGCCAGTGCAAGAATTTTAGTGGAAAGGGATGTTACCCTTCCTGATGTCAAGAGAATTTGGATTGGGGACACTCAGAGGGGGTTTTGGCAAGAAGTAATCACGGAGCAAAGACCACATTATTGCCAACATTGCAAAATGTTTGGACATAGTAAGGAGAGATGCTATAGGTTGAAACCCCCCAATAGAAGGGTTTACCAACAACCTCAGCAGGAGTTGGATGATGCCAATATCAATCTCCAGGAAGTTGTAAATAAATAAGTGCAAAAGAAGACCTTTATTGCTGCAGGGAGAGATGAGTCTTTCATCCAAAAGGATTCATCCTGTGTGGCAGGGACAGTTAGAAATGGTAGCAAAGTTGCTGGCCAGATATCTACAAAGGATAAGAAATTGGAGATCTAAGCAGAGGTTGAGTCAGTGGGGGAGGAGATACTTGCCTCCCCATCTCCCAGAAATGTGAAGAACCAAGTGGTGGATGTGGTGGAATCCCCTAGTTAGAAACTGGTTGAAGCTATGAACAAAGAGCTAGAGTCAGATTGGCAAATTCAAAAAGCTAAGAAGAAAAAGAACTACAAATCAGAAGGACAAGATCTTGGAAAAGGAAAGGAGCTTCAAAGTTTGGAGGTTCATATCAATCAGATAAAATTGGGCTCTAACAAAACAAGAGGGAGGACTAGGTTCAAGTCCCAACCTTACTCTTCTCCCCCCTCCCCATGATTAATCTGCTGTGCTGGAACATTAGGGGGATTGCCCGCCCCTTATCCTTAAAAAGACTCAAAAACCTAAATAAAAAGCATAAACTTTGGTGCATAGCCATCTTGGAACCCATGGTTCATCTCAACACTTTGAAAATTGCAAAAGTCTTCCCTGGCTTCAATCTGTTCACTAATATCAGCAATAAAATTTGGATTTTTTGTAGGAAAGAAATAAAGTGCTCTATCTTACTTAATCATACCCAAATCTTACATATGAATCTCAGCTTTATGGACATGGAAGTTTTTTCTTCTTTTGTCTATGCTGAAAGTTCTAAAGCAACTAGAATTGATTTGTGAGAATCCTTGCAGCTCATCTAAGGTTCAATTGATAAGGCCTAGCTAGTGGGATGAGACTTCAATAAAGTTCTAAAGCAGCTAGAATTGATTTGTGGGAATCCTTGCAGCTCATCTAAGGTTCAATTGATAAGGCCTAGCTAGTGGGATGAGACTTCAATTGCATTTCCTCTCCTACTGAGAGGAAGGGAGGCAGACCTCCCAACCCCATCAATATATCATTCTTTAATGATAATATCCAAAAAACTGGGTTATTTGACCTGGGGTTTAGTGGTCCTACCTTTACTTGAAGAAGGAAGGACTTGTAGGAAAGGTTGGATAGTTTTTTCCAATGACAATTGGATCCAAAAGTTCTTGTAGACATCTATTACCCACCTAAGCCTAGCTGGCTCAGACCATAGGCCTTTACTGATCACTATATGGAATAAGGTGACTAACCAGAAAAGCTCTTTTAGATATCTGAATGTGTGGTCTCAACACTTAAAATTCTTGAATATTATTAAAGAACATTGGAAGAAGGACCTTCATCGTGACCCCTTCATCAACCTTTGGATTAATCAGAAGAAAGTGTCCAAAGCCCTTAAGCAGTTGAGTTGGATCACTTTTGGAGACCTTCTGATTGTAGATAAGGCTGAAAAGGAGGGAACTGATCTGGAGGAGGAGCATAACAAAGGGAGGATTGATGAGGTT